TAGCTTTGAAAAGCGCGATACTATTTATCATACTGTTAAAGAGAGAATAGTAGTCTACATAAGCTATTCAATCTGTATAAGGCTAAAAGAATTAAATTGCTGAATTACATTTTCAATGATAATGTATGGTGATAGCCTTTGTCCAAGAAGGAGGAGAGCTAATTGAATATATTAGATTCTGAATTATTTCAAAAAGCTACTGTTAGAGTGATAGTTACACTGCATATAAAGGGAAGCATGTTTCACAGATGGAGATCAGTTACGCTTTTCTTTTTCCTCCATTCAGCACACTTGTATCGACCTGAGGCAGAAAGTCAGATGAGATGGCAAAGGGTATTAATTTGAGTAGCTAAATGGTTGCTTATAGTCTATTTCATATTAGGCATTGGATTAGAATTGGAAAGATGGAGTGGTATTAGATGCCAGTAACACTAAATCTTATATGGGTATTTTGCCTCTTTGAGATAAGTAAAAAGCTTGTGGAACTGATACCTTCTTTGAATCAGAAGCATTGGGAAACAGATTGTCAGGGGTCAATTTTTTTATTTGATAGTGTGGAAAGTGGGATTTCTTTAGATTACTTTCATGTTATCTTTACCTTGTTCTTCTTCTCAAAGTGGAAAAAAAAAAAGAGTTTGTTTCCTGGATTTCTTGGTTTTCTGAGTGTGCCTGAATGTGTGTAAAGCAAGCATGGATATAGTTTTATAAATGAAAAATCTGCCTTTACATCTCTTCTTAACACCCTGTGCTCTTACATGTGAATTATTGCTGCTTCTCCCTTGATTCTAACCAGGCTTGCAGATGTCTGACTAAAATAAGCTTTGTGAGTCTAGAGATCTGCTTTCTTCAGTGCTGAAAACCGCAGCAGAACCAGAGGGTTTAGATATTGATTTTGCCCTGTGCGCTTAACGTTTTCTCATCTGCTGGCTGCTGAGGATGGCAATCTGAAGGAAAGGTCATATTCTCAGACCTAATTAAGAAAGTCAGAAGAGGCAAATAACAGAAATGAAGAGTCCTAATAATGACCTGACAGGGCTGCCATGTTACTGCAGATGGGCAGAGCCGGGCTGCGGCACAGCTGACTTCAGTCAAATGTCAAGAAAGAAGGCAGTGCTGTCCATGGCTCTTGCCTCACTTATGCTAGTGATAAGTTTGGTTCATTGCCTCCTTTTTTGGGGATAATTAATTAATTATTTGTCCTGTTTCATTCTTTTAATGTTTAGCTTTTAGTCTCCTGCATCTCCCTGTAATTGAGATGAAGCCTGAACTTTATCAGCTCCATATGAGAGGAAAGTGCTGGAAAATTTAGAACAGATTTGTACCAATAATGAATATTTCTCTTTTTTAAAATAGATAGCAAGTAGGAAGTAAATTATATTCCCTTTGAGCCTAGAAAAAATCTTAATGCTTGGGTTAAGAGCATTTTCTTTCAGTACACGTGGAAAGGAAATAATGGCCTAAAAAGTGAATACAGTTGTGCGGATTGAATCTATTACTAAAGTGCTAGTTCTACTATAGCTGTAGGAGGTGGGATGAAAGTTGCATTTTAGTTTTTTTCTAAAGTTGTTCATCCTACATCTTGTTTGGAAGGGAAAATTAATTATTTCTCACTTTTGTTTTTTGGCTGTAGTTAATTTTTATTGCTGTTCTTTAAACAATTTGTATTTTGTTTTTTCTAGGTGGATTTTTATTATTTGATGAATTGAGGTAGGGCTTTGTGGGATATTGCTTAGTCTTGTCCTTTCCCTGACTGCCACACAGGCACTTGCTATGGTGATCCTGTAGAGCAGAGCATCTGGGGGTACCTGTTTGGGACCTGTAGTGCAATTTCTAGCTCTTTATGAACTGTGGTTCGTGTACTTTATTTGGGCAGAAGGGGCTCTGGGTGTCTCTTAATCTGCTTCTCAAAGGTTATAGGAGTAGCAGAGCTAAGAGAGTGGGACACGTCAAGAGGAGTAAATTGAGTTCAGGCTCTTCTGTATGACATCGGGGAGCCATCTGTATGATAAAAGCATAAAAATAATCTGCAGTGATAAGAGCATTAAAATGGGCAGTAATCTAAAAGTACAGTTCTATTTTGGAAAGTGGTTATCTAAAAATGTCAATTTTGAATCCAGCAGATCTATTTCCATGAGTATTAAAATATTACTTGCTAAATTTAGTGACAAAAAGTACTGTGTTAAAGTATTGGAGGACGATCTGATTTTTTTCTACTGTATCATCTGTGAAACAGTCTATTAAGTTACTATTGTTTATACCCATTTGAAATTCTGTCACTTAGAAATTTTTAAGAGACTTATATGAATAATTATTTCCCTGGGCATTTCTTCCTCTTGATATTGATCCATTTGGAATAGATAAATTATTATTTTTAGCTTTTTCTGAATTTTTAGAATCTTCTTATTATGAATTATTATGAATCTTACAAGATATTATGACTAATTTGAATATTAAATGCATCTATTAAATGCAACCAAATCAAGTATTTATTTTCTGTAAATAAGCAAGTTCTTTTTGTACAAAAAGCATAATTCTCTCTACCTCTGGTCAGAATTTGGTAGAACCACTTTCTCCCAAATTATGTTGTTCTATCACATTTAAAATGTTTTTACAAAATTTATTTTGGTGAATTTCACAAGGGAAATTAGGATAAGAGTACTCTGAAAGCAGTTTGCCTTCAATGTTTTAAATCTCATTTCAAATATTTTATTTTGTATTCCCATTTTTCATATCCAATTTCTTAAGCTCTAATCTTTGACTTTTTTTCAATTAAGAATTAACCAAATTCCAAACTTTTTACTCCTTCCTGAATAATTATTATTTTTGTCTTTGGTAGCACTGTCACCGACAAACAGCATTAATTTTTTAAAAATCCCAGTGATGAGTTTAAATTTTAAGAACAAATTTCGCACTACTATTTTTGAGTAAAAGTAAAACTGGTATTTGGAATGCTGGGATGGAAAAATTTCCTGCCCTTGGCTGAGACTTGCATGATTAAAGCTTGGCTTTGCGACTAAAGCCCTTGGCTTCCTGCATGATTAAAAAGCTTGGCTTTGAGACTAAAGCTGAAAGCAGGCCATTGCTGGAGACCTCTCACAATGTAAAACATTATTGTTTTGCTGTTAAAGTTTGTAAAGGGGAAAGGGAGAAATGGGCATTGGTCTTGAGGAAAAAGGCCAGAAGGCTGTGTTGGAATGTCAGAATGCAGATATTTGGAATGTAGAGACTATAAGTGCTTGTCACTCAGGGAATTGCATATCCAGTTCTGAAATATGGTTATCATGTTATAGTTTTTTCTGTTTTCCACCTTCGATTTTCCTCTCCATACTCGGTGTTCAGAAGTACCTGCTTTCCCTTCCCTGGAAATTAAGGCCTTATGCCTTCTGTGTGGTATTTTCTGAATTAGCATCAAGGCTTTGGTTCATTGTTTACAAAACAAAGTCAGGTGTGGAATGAATGGGAAATGGAAATTTACTTTGTGAAGGAATTTTTTGCATCAGTGACTTGAAAAGTTTTACACAGATAATCATGAGAAGAACAGATGACTTGGTCTCTTGTAGATCTCTGCAAATAGCTCTGATTTAAAGGAAGGCTGGTTTTTTTTTGTTTGTTTGTTTTTTTTTTTTTTGTTCTTCCTTTTTACTCCTCTCCCTGGTTGTGTTAGATCTTGTCCAAATACTTAATAGAAATTGATAGTGTGTTCCAAGGTAACAAATTACTTCTGTCTCTGAAAATGAGTCAATGTAATCATGACAAATTCATGAAATAAAGGGGAAATACATTGCTGCAGTCCTGGGGAACATGAGTCAATATGCTTTATGTAATTATTTAATAAAACATCTCATCTAGTGCATTGAACCAGTCTAAGATACCAAAGCAGTTGCATTTATGCAGGAATAAACAAACTTCCAGTAAAAGCTGGTGACCAGAAGTATGCAATTATGCATTTCCAGTAATACTCATTAAACCAGTCTGCTTAAATTTTAATCAGACTTCTATGTATGGAACAGTCTTGACACAAAGGAGTAGAAAAAACAAGAAAGGATTTTTATGAAAAGCTATTCAGACCTTCTAGTGCCCCAAGTGGCTTTTAATTTTTTTTTAATTTAACTTCTTGTGCATGGAATTGAAAATATGTCTAAAAGTTAACAATACAAAATCCTACATGCTGGGTTAATTCTGTTTTATGGGAGCCATATTAGTATCAGCACAGAAATGCTACTTTGATAACAAAGCTGTCATAACAAGAATATGATGTAGGGATTAGACAATGAGATATCTAAAATAGTTAAACTTTGTGTAGTCCATGTGAGAAATGTCAGAGGACTGATTACCAGTGTGTGAATTCTTATGTGGAAGTAAAGTCATAGGAAATACACTGTTACACTGAAAAATTACACGTCACCAGGTACCTCCAGTATCTTTTGGCCTTTCTTATTTATCATCCTGGGGTGTCTGAGATAAATACTTCAAACTGTGGTACATCTGAGACATGGAGAAGGCATGTGTGGCACAGGATCATAAGGAAGCCAGGAATAGCCACATCAGAGGTTCATGACTCCAAACGCTGGAGTGAATTCCATCGGTGTCTGGTTATGTTCCTCTCAACATTAGATTTGTATAGTTTAATGGTCAGTGACTTCCGTGTTTGTTTTCAGTCAGCCTAAAGTAGCATCAGGATGCTCAGGGATGGTCCACTTGCACAACTGGATGGGAATAAATAGCCTGGTGTTTGAAGCCTTTACAAATGTGTTTGTAGATCTATTCAAATAATCTGAAAAGGGGAGTTCAGAGAGCAACTCACAAAATGTTAGTGGATGGATATATATCCATCCCTGAAAAGGGTCACTAAGCTTTTCATGTTTCACAATCTCTGTTTTCGGGTGTTACCTGATGACCATCTATTTGTGATGGATCACCTTGTGTCCTTGGAAACTGCAGTTATGAATATTGTTGCTTTAATATTAAATTCTAATGGTCACTGTGCTTTATCCTTCTAGGGCATCAGCAGCCTCTTCAGTTCACTTAAAGTGGTCAGGCTGCTTCGTCTGGGTCGCGTAGCTCGGAAGTTGGACCACTACATTGAATACGGAGCAGCAGTCTTGGTTCTGCTGGTGTGCGTGTTTGGTCTTGCAGCACACTGGTTGGCCTGCATTTGGTACAGCATAGGAGACTATGAAGTTATCGATGAGGATACAAACACCATCCGAACTGAGAGCTGGCTCTATCAGCTGGGGATGTCGATAGGAACACCCTACCGCTTTAACACATCAGGCTTTGGAAAATGGGAGGGCGGACCAAGCAAAGATTCGGTCTACATCTCCTCGTTGTATTTTACAATGACCAGCCTCACCAGTGTTGGATTTGGGAACATTGCTCCAACTACAGATGGAGAGAAGATCTTTGCTGTTGCTATGATGATGATTGGCTGTAAGTATTAGAGATTCTGTCTCTTACACACAATGCCAAATAGCTGTATGTCATGAATACTGATATCATAAGAACATCTGGAATCATGTCAAACATTATTATGCAGCTTAAAGTATTTTTGGTGGCAATATAGTTATTACGCGCTTTCTTACTGGTTAGTTTTAAAATCACAAGTGGGAGTATTGCTGTGACTAGCAAAAATTCAGTCATTTGGGAAGAAATATTCTGTCAATATCCTTCTAATATTCTCTTGTAAGTAAACTATAAAATGCGTAGAGCCTTAAGTATTAAAAATGAATGCACCAGAGTGGGCACAGACAACCTTTGTGCCTCCATATGGAATGTGGCAAAATCTTTGTATATATTGGACAAGTGGGTCAGTGAGCAGGAGGAGGTCCAAGAGCATCTTGTAAGGGAGAGACAACAGTAGCTCTCTAGAGGCCACCAACTCTGCTGTGGGCTGAACGCACAGTCACATCCTAAAGCAACTGGGATGATACCGGCCTTGGGCACCTATAGCTCACATTTTCTTGTCACAAGGGATTCATATTGCTAAGGTGTGCTGCTGTTGGCCATGGCATGTCACTTCAATGCAGGATCTGTACTCAAAGTGCCTTGAAAGCTACTTGGAGTTTAGAACCATATGGTGGCCACTGTTAAACTAGGTCATGTTTATCTAGATAAGGGTGGAATTTGAACCAAAATAAGGAAAAAAAATTCTACTTTGTACATGGAAGAGCATATCGTTAAATGGAGTAAGAGAGAGGCTTCTGTACAGTAATATTACACCTAGAGGAGAAAAGAGTCAACCCTTGCTAAGCAGAAAATTAAAACCAAATATATAATGAAACCCAATTAGTAGCACAGTGCCTGTTATGATAGAAATGTGAAGCTTTAATTCTGATTTTTATGTTGTTTTACAGCAACACTGAAATCAGTTTCTGAGATTACATGTGCAGTGTTAAACAGGCTGACGGTTAGTGAGAAGTAAAAAGACAAGCATTCTTGATTGCATAGGGATTGGGATATTTTAGCTATAAAAATCAGTAATTTTGTTCTTGTAGCTTTTTCCATTGCTAAGAGTCGCATCATCCTAATAAAACACCCATGTAGCAGAAGGGAGATTGATATAAAACTTGGAGACGATTACGTGGTTTCCTCATGAGAAGGTGCATTAAACAATGTAGCAGTGTAGCACAAAACAGGCTTACA